TTTAAACTGTAGAATGGTAATATAATCCAGCATATTTTTTCTTTGTTTATTTACCATGTTCTCTTTGTCTTTAATTTTACTTCTCAGGTTCTGGGCTGCCCAGGGGAGGCGGGCTGTGGTAGAGGAGAGGAAAGGCTGCAATGATTCACTCCACCTCTTCAAACTTTGACCCCAGCCCTAGGGATTTGCTCTTAACCCTCACCTTCTAAATGAGTAAGATTTACCAGGAAGCTACTACCAAACTCAACACTCAGGTCTCTCACTTGTAAGAGACTCTTCCAAGGCCCCCAGGAAAGGCCCTAGGTGTGCATTCACATGGATGTGTGTTTTATAAAACTTATAATTTGAGACTTTTAGAACATTTAAAAAAGTTAATTTCATATGTATGTGCATTATGACTGTGTGTATGTTCCACCTGAGTGCAGGTACCTAAGGAAGCCAGAAGGGGGCGCTGACAGATTCTCTTGGATGGGCCTGGAGTTACAGGCAATTGTGAACTGCCTGACTTGGGTGCTGGAAACCAAACCCTGGTGCTGTAGAAGGACAGCAACACCTCTAACCACTGAGCTGTCTCAACACCCAAGCCATCGGAATCTCAGTCACTTTCATTCAACTTTCCATTTGAACGAACAGTTCTTCTCATTGTGTTGTAGAGGTGTTGGCTATTTTGAGATGACTTAAGAGGAAGATGACGTAGGAATATGTTGACTTGGGGGTTTAATGGGGGAGCGAGCCTTTTGTGATTTCCAGTCTCTCTCACCACTGACTATCCACGTACAGAGGCAAGTCCCAAGAATGCCAACAACAGAGGTGGACAGAGTCTTGCCGTATGTGTGAGCATGTTTTCCCTCAACAAGTCTTTCAGGGACCATGAACCTTCCAGAACCATGAACTACACTTCCTTTCTTTATATGTTACCCCTTCTGTTGCATTCTGTTTTAGCACTAGTAAAAACAAACATAAAACCTAAGTCAGAGGCAAACTTCAGTCCTTGGAAATTTCATAAGAAAGGAGATTTGGTTCTAATCAAAGTCTGGTCAGATGCAAGTTGTCCTTTGTCAGAAATATGTTTTGGTCTCATCTGTCTGTTTATTGCTTAAAGATTTTTATTTTATTTTTTAATTATCTTTATATGTGCCTGTGTGTGTGTGTGTGTGTGTGTGTGTGTGTGTGTGTGTGTAAACATGTGTGCAGGTACCCTAGGAGGCCAGAAGAAGGTGTGGGTTCCCCCTGGAGCTGGAATTAGAGGCAATTGTGAGCTACCCAACTGGGTACTGGGAACCAAACCTGGGTCTTAATTGCTCCTGTTTATTTATTTGTGAAAAATCAGGGTCTATCTATATAGATCAAGCTGGTCTTGAAGTCATGATCCTGCTGTGCCTCAACTCCTCAAGTGCTGTGATTAAAGGAGGGTAAAATACGTCGCCAGCCTAGAAAACAATTTGTTAGTGTAGCATGTATCAGTTGTACTATGGAAGGTTCTGGATAGCTTTCTATTCTCTATGTAGAAAATATTCCAAAATTTTGTTTTATGAAGTGATAAACCAAAAACACCAGTGCCACAAACACAATAGCACTATGTCTTTATTTAGTTAATAACGATACTATCTTGTTGGATGTGTATGCTCTGTGCTGAATTTGTTGGCTTAAATTATACAAGGGGCTGAGGTTTGTTTCTCAGTCATATATAAAGTATACTAGAGCAACAATTCTGCTTTTAAACATTTGTATTCTTTAAAAAAAAAAATGGGCTCAAAGATGCCAAGTCCACTGACCACTGAAGCTAGCACCTTCTGTGCCCTTTGGCTTATTTATCTTCTGACCTGGCGGCTCTCTGTGGCATCTAACCAGTCCCTTTTTGTCACATTCAGGCCACTTTAATATATAACAATAAATTGAACATTATTTTAAAAGGCTCTTGACTCATAGGGAAATTACTGGCACTGTTGAATAAAGGGAGAAATGTCTCTCGGTCTTACCCCACTTGTGTGTATCTGCAGTCATAGTGCCTTCCTTGTCTTTGTGAATATTTTGGTATGAATGGAAGGCTTTGTTATTTATTAGTGGCTTGAGTTGCTGTTATACTGAGGGAACAATTAAATAGCGTTTTCTTAATTCTGCAAAACTCCTATGTTTTATTCATGCTCAGATAAATTATTGACCTTTTATTCTAATGTGAAGTGCATCCTAGTCATATTATAACCAAGAGGCTTTTGACTGTTGTTGACTATAGTTTTATTTATTTAATACCCTTTTTCTATATCTGTTTCTTAACTTATTCATGGACTGTTTGGAGGATGTCATAAATAATGGCATTGTCCGTGGAATATGCTGTTAGGGTAGGACCTGCATCATAGTTATAGAGAATTGATACAATTCCCAAGTAGCCCTGGTCCCCAAACCCTACTGTTGTTATCTTTCCATTATTTAAGATTATGTTTAGTTACCTTACTGGATATAATCGCATTTCAGCCTCATTTTGTGTAGACAATGCCGGCTTCTGAAGATGAAGATTTATGCTGTTGTAAAGGGAACCAGACAGCGGCTCTTAGGTCCTAGAGTGGCTAGTTTAAATCAGGTATAACCAGTAAAAATGGGACAACCTTTAATTCTGTGGGTCCCCTGACCATCACTCACCGACCCTTGTTGATGGGAAAGAGGGAGGAAGCAGGCAGTTCCTTGCCATGTGTCTGAGTGGTGAAACATTGGCTGTCCCAGGGTGGGTGTGGCACACTCAGCCTGTGTGTCCTCTTCGGCTCCAGTCACCTGGTCCTTCACTGTGCTTTAGATCAGCCGTGCCTCCATCAGAGACACAACAAAATGACGTGAGCTGGGCGAGGGGGGGATCACACATCATGAGAGTCTTGAAATGACATTTTTCTGACATTGCCTTCAACTGTGCAGATCTTACCGAGCGGTCCGTGAATTATGCAAATTGTGTTATAAAAAGGAAACAACAGAGTGAAAGCCATGTCAGCATCACATCAAGATGACGACAGTGCCATACAGAGAGAAAAACAACTCAGAAATTTGACTCATGATTGGCAACATGCTTTTAGGCACAGAAAGCTTTTACAGTTGTGGGAGCCAACTTGAGTTCTGGGACACAGGACACACTCTGCCCCAGACATTCTTTGAAAGTCTGAAATAGAACCGTGTTTTCAGTCCCCAACTGTTCTGTGCTATGTAGAGTAGAGGGACAGTACTCCATGGGTCATCCCTCCCAGAAAGCAGCACCCCTCTTCTTTCTCCTCCTCTGCATCCCTTTCCTCCTCCTCCTCTTCCTCCTTTTCCTCATATTCCTCTTCTTCTTTCTCTTCCTTCTCTTCTTCCTGTTCTAGGGACTGAAACCTCTTACATGCTAGGCAAGCACTCCACCACATTCCCAGCCCAGAGACCTGCTTTTTAATGATAAAAAGCAAGCAGTGAGTAGATGTCCAGGAAAGAGAAGCATCATATACACAAGTTACAGGATAGAAAGGGGGGGGGGCTTTCAGAGAAAGTTTCCTGAGAAGTCTTCTCGGGGGTGGTGGCATTAAACTAGAGATTTCTGTGAAGAAATGAGGGGGCATGGAACGGGAGAGCAGAGAGCTCTCCAGAGGGAGGAAATAGCTGGTGCAGACACTTTGCTGTGGGATAAACACGGCCAAAGAACACTGTTCCAAAGAACAGTGAAGGACCAGATTGACCGAGCTGAATGAGTCATAGGCAGATAGTGCTGGTAGGGAATCCAGGGCATGCTTTGCAATCCGTTTAAACAGAAACGATGCGAGTTGAGGCGGTAGTTGTCTATGTTGGGAGACCATCCAGAGATGGTTTAAAAGTTCAGCCATGTTTATCTTTGGCCAGCAATTTAGACTGGAGGAAACTGGGAGTCTCTGTTAAGATATTTTGGTTCAGGAGACCAAAGGATTGTAGGAATGTGGTGCGGCTGGAAAAGGCTGTACAGGGTTGCTATGAGTTGAGTTGTCTCTACAATGTGGTAGGCTTAGGGGAGGTGATGGTGTTCCTGAGGTGGGAGAGTAGTCTGACTGGAGTAGTTGCCACTATTATAGGGAGTAAGTTTGGGCGGTTGTGGTAAAGCCAGGCTCTGGAAGGTCTGCATGGCAAGGGGACCTCAGATCTGAGGCACAGAACACTGTCCACAAGAGCAAGGTGAGAGATGACAGTTAAGTAGCCGGTCTGAGGTTCTGCTTGGGGTTGTGTGTTGCATGACCTGACTAGATGGGTCTTGTGGTACCCATTCCCTTGAAGAGCATGGTGCTGAGATGGGCCACCCTAGACATTAACAGAGGGTCTGAAAGGCAGGGCGGGTAACTCTTTAATGTCAGGCAAAAAAAATATGTGCTGAAGAACTGTTAGGGAGAGGTTGATGAAGAGCGAGTTGACAACAGCATTGCTCTACATGTGAGTCCTCTTCCCAGTTGAATGACATGTGCTGGGAAGGTCCATGTTGCTGCACACTCCGAAAAACCACAGTAGCGCTAGGTATTTCCAGGAGGAAGGGATTTAACACAGAGGAGTTTTCACTTAGAGAGAGGTCGATGTTGCGTGGCCCATTGTGCACACGGTGGGTCACTAATAGCCCCTGCATACTAAGGGCCTCTTTGGAGCACTGGCTTGAGATCCATGGCTACTTCCTGTTTGCCCAAACAGCAGGAGCACTCCTGGGCAGAACTGGCCAGATCCTAGGAGATATGGAGGTTTAGAGCAGGAAGTTGGTCAGGCAGTAAAGATTGGAAGGGCAGAATCCAGGGCTGAGGGGTTGTGGTGGTTTGAAAGAAAATGGCTTCCAAAGGGAGTGGCACTACTAGGAGGTGTGGCCTTGTTGGAGGAAGTGTGTCACTGTGGAGGTAGGCTTTGAGGTCTCACATGTGCTCAAGCCATGCCCAGTGAGACAGTTCACTTCCTGTTGCCTTTGAATCAAGATGTAGAATTCTCTAGCACCAGGTCTGCCTGCATGCTGCCATACTCCCTGCTGTGATGATAATGGACTGAACCTCTGAAACTGTAAGCTGCCACCTCAGTTAGATATTTTCTTTTGTAGGAGTTGCTGTGTCATGGTGGCTCTTCCCAGCAATGGAAACCAGAACTACGATACTGGTCAGTAACGATCCCCCCTTCTCCCCACCCACTTCTGCCTTCCTTCTCTCCAACCCTTCCTCCATTAGTTCATGTTCCCCTACTCTTTTTTTCTTCCTTATCTCCTTGCACCCTCCCTTTCCCCTGCCTCTGTCCCTTTCTCCTCCCACCTTCCATCTCCTTTCTCCTTTCCTCCCTCCTTGCCTTCTGGGTCTCCATGCTTACCTCCTAGCTCTCCTCTCCCTCTCTTCATTCCTTTCTCTCCTTTTCTTCTTCCTCTCTCTTCTTCCCTTCCTCCTCCTCTTCTAATCCCTGCAGAGACTTTGGTCCCATTTTAATACTCCTTTTAGAAAACTGGGTCAAATTTTATCACAGCACTTCTTCCACAGTGGCTGCAAAGAAGATCATCAAAGGCCATTCACCAGTGCTTCCTGCTTCCAAGGAGGCATAGAGTGTATGGTGAGGGGGCTGGAGAGGTGGCTCAGTGGTTAAGAGTACGGGCTGCTCTTCCAGAGGACCCAGGTTCAATTCCCAGCTCCCACATGGCAGCTCACAGCTGTCGGTAACTCCAGTTCCAGGGGCTCTGGCACCTTTACACAGGCAAAACACCAAGGCACATAAAAAATAAAAATAAAAAACAAACAAAAACCAACCTCAACTTAGTGAGACAGACTCTGTTTTAGAAAAGTCAGAAGGATGGACGTGGAGCTCAGAGGTCAGAGATTGAATGCTTGCCTGATGCACACAATGGGAGGAAGAGGCGGTCTCACAAAAAAAAAGAGTATATGGTGAAATATGTTACTGAGTTGTTGTTAGAGTTTCATATATCTGCCTTATGCATTTTTCATCATGTACATATATGTATGTGTTTATGTATGTACTGAACTGCCAGTATGAAGGGATTATAATATCTTGGTTCATTGTACATCACTCTCTTGTGGAGTATATGCATGCATGCATACCTCTGTGTGTGTGTGTGTGCGCGCGCGCGCATGCGTGCACACATTTTCACCTGTAGGAATCTGTGCTGCTCCCCTGATTGCCTTAGCATCTTTCACCATTGCACAGCAACATTAAAACATGGTCAGAGGTGAGAGGTTTGCTGCTCAGGAGTGTTTCCGAGAGCTCGGTAGGCCAACTCTCCTCTTTTCCTTTCTTCTTACTGCTTTGGTGGAGCAAGACAGGAAACAGAAATCAAGAACAGACACAAAGAAATTAAAACCAAAGCTCACGTGAAGCCAGACACTGGCTCTCTGCAGTGGGCTCCCAAGCCTGCTCAGCTCTTCTGGATGACAAGAAATGATCCATAGTTTATCCTCCTGCCGCCTCAGCAGCCCTGGTTGTTCTTCTCCCTGATTCTACAAATATTTACCAGGGGCTTGCTGCATGCCAGAGATCATGCTAGAAATGGAAGATGAAAGCACAGGGTCTTGACTCTCAAAGCCTCAGTTGGATGTGGGAAATAGATACGTCAACATACAACTACAATATACGAGGGGCTGCACATAGCAGAAGTTATGGGTATTTGGAGAGGAAGCTTGGGCCTCTTACTATGTGAGAGTCTTGCCCACATGCTGCATCCTGCTCTGCCTGGTATGCCTGTGCATGTCTGCCTATCTTGTTCCATGTTGCAGATCTGTGTTGGGGTTTAAACTAGTGAGTTACCTCAGTCTTGCTGGAGGATTTACTTACTTGATTAAAAAGTAAACTAAATGTAAATAATATTAGCTAGTCTTTTAAAAAAAATATGTCTCAATCTCTTCTGGCAAATTCCTCTCAGATGTGTTGAATCTTTTTGTCACCCCCCTCTCCTCACTGTGACCTATTTCAGCATGGCCTGTGTATGTGGGGGTGAGACTGACTGACTCATGGTCTGTCCAAGTGGGAAAGGAGCATGCTTTCTTATCTTTTCATTGTCCTTTATGCCCCCTAGATTATCCTGCTGTGCCCTCTACCTGCCTGCTCATTAAGGATGAGAATGGACCAATGGACAAGAGGCGTCTGTGAGAACATGATCTGTATTTCTCTTCCACTTGCTGGAACTCCTCAGAACTCCTAGGCACTGCAGATGCCTATGATGCCTAGAGGTCAGTGCTACCCACCAACCTTGGCTTTCCACATTGCCCACTCCCTTATTTACCCCTTTTACCAGCAAATCCACCTGCAACTTCCACTTCTCATTGGGATTGGGGGAGGGGCTGCTTCTCCCCCCCCCCTCTAGGTCTCAGGCAGTGCCGGAAGGTACTTAACCAAACAGTTCTCCTTCACTATTTGTACACAATGTGGTTGCTCAATGTTGCCCATGGGGCCCAGCAATCTCTTCTGAAGTTGTCTGGATAGACACTGGGGCACAAACAAAACCCAAGCCTTTCTTCTCAATCTAAGCCTCTAACTTTGCATCATGAGACAAAAGTCATGATACATTTGTCTCACCAATTATTGCCTAGCTCTACACTTTCTTCTGGGCCAGAAGGGACCAGATTTTAATTTCCTCTTCTCCCTGGAAAGGATATGTCCTTTCATACACGCCCCTTTTACTTGGAAAGCTAAACTTTATTGGCATGGCATTGTGTGAAGCTAGTCATGCAGGTCTGTGTACATGTGCCTGTTGATATGTGCATTTGTGAGGAGGCCAGAGGTCAATTTGGGCATCCTCTTTAGCCATTCTTCTCATTCACTCTTTGCACTGGCTTCTTTTTCTCTAGTTTCTGATACACCAAAATGTCCTCATTTTCAAAGAGATCTTATACTCTTCTATTAGTATGCATTTGGATCCATTAGTAACCCCTAACCCCTTCTTCTAACTTGTGAACTTCTTCAATGAATATGGCCTATACTTCCTATTTCTTGTCCTATCCATCCTCCAAGCCTTGGTTCCTGCTCTCTATATTTTGTTATAACCACTTTCTTGAGGGCCATCAGTGACCTCTGATACCAAAGTCTGCAAGTATTTTCTCAGGTCCAATTTCCCTTGACCTTGTTCTACCATTTAATATTGTTAGTCAGCCTCTCTAGCATTAAACTCCTTTGACTTTTTGTTTCCATAGCAACTTGTTTTATAGTGTTTTATCCTTTGTTTCTGTTTCCTCTGGGTTTCATTTTTTTCCTTCCTTTACTTAATCCCATTTCTTTCCACTTTTCCCCCAAGTGTGAACATCCTGTTATGATTACTGTCATTAGTATTCTTATAAGTGTATCTCTCTACAGTGTGATATAGCCCACAAGGGACTATTCAGTGCTTTTCACCTATTAACATGTCCACAGAGGTTAGACTACTGAGGAACAGGGAGGCTAAATGATTCACCAAGTGTACAAGGCTCATCAATGGCATATCTGGGATTCAGATGTAGACATTCTGACTCTAGAGATCATGTCTGTAACCATCCTTTCATTTTCTTATCCTGATCTTTCTCACATTTTGAAACTCAGAGTGTGACTAGTACCCACATACCCCTCCTTCCCATATACCTTCACAACAGTGCAACTCTAATGTCTATTAACATATCTAACAGGCCCTGTTAAGGCTGCATTCTACTTCTTTCTCCCACTTTCAAGCCCCCAATCTCATCAACTCAATGTCTCCATCTTTGCTAATGACCTCACTTGATTCTGAACTTGCATCATCATTGAGGTTGTGATCTCTAACTACCCTGTAAACCCCATGTTCTGCAGCTGTTGCTACCTCAGCCCAATGCATCTCCTTCTGCACAGCCTCTGAGGCCATTTTTCTGTTCATAAAAAGATGACACGTGATATAATAATAAAAATAAGGATTTCTCATTGCATAGGATTTCTATGGCAAGTTCCTTTGGGTTTGGAATTCTCCTTAAGCAACTCCATGGGTCTGTGAGTAAGACTCTTAGAGGCCTCAAGAGCACAGATGTCTACAACTTTGAAAAATGATCTCCCACCTACCTTCACAGATGGATGCCTAGCAGCTTCATGAGTGAGTTAGAAACACACCAATTATTTTTGGTGAACAGGGGGTTAAGTAAACATTTTTACATGAGATAGGCTGGTGGTTCAATGTATGCCAGACAGAAAAAGACTAGACCCTGTTTTTGGAGGGTGAGTCCTCTGGTTGGACAGTGACTGGGCACTGTGACTTTGATGAGCTGGTTTATGCTCCTTTTCATACCTGGTTTCTGCTTAAGATACTTGGTCCTACATCTTATCTCACAGCCTTAATCCCCATTTCAGCATACAAGTTTCCTGTCTGTGTCCCTAAGGCTGTACCTGCTTTGATGCATATGCTACCAAGTATTTTCAGTCCATGATCTGTAAAAGAGATATCTTTAGATCTTGGGGACTTATTGGGTCCTGTCCTATCCTCAAATCCCCTTAAAACTTGGCAGATCCTGAAGAGGTACTTGGAGGTAAGAAAGACTATAGAATGCCAAAGGACCATTTGCTGGAGCTTTTCAGCAGAGGGTCTTGTTCTTTGAGTATAAAATGTAATCTCTGTAATCTTTCTCTGTGTTTGTAACTTAGCCACCAAATAGGGCTTTTCTTGCCAGATGTGGCGGCACTTGCTTATTATCCTAGTACTCATGAGGCTGAGGCAGGAGGATTGCTATGAGTGTGAGACTAGCCTGGGTTACATAGCAAGTATCGGGCAGGCTAATGATACAGAGAATGACCTTGTTTGAAAAACATAACAAAGCATAACAAAATATAAAAATAACAACAATAACAAAACACAGAACTAGCTAACCAAACAGACAGACAGACAAGAAACCAAACCAAACCAAAATAAATAAATAAATAAAAAAAACCCAAACTCTGAAAACATTATTGTATAGCATAATATGAGTCAATGAAAATTTTATTGCAGAATGTTTGCAAATATCAAGATTTAAAGAATTCCCAAATTGAACCACTACTGATTGATTTTTATAATGGTCAATGCATGGTTGTCTGAAATTATTTTTGGCTACTCTGAACATTTTGTCCATTGTGGCTTCTTTAAGAAATAATTCTCAAGGCTACTGTATCCAGGAGAAACAGGTCAAGCAAATCTCCATTGGTTAAATGAGAAATGTGTCCACCCTGATGTAGTCTGTGAATGCTTTGGGAATGTATTGCTGACTGAAAAAAATAAAGGCATCATCACATTCATTCTTATTTCTCACATTCTACATCTGACAATTCTAAGGAAACATGCCCTCAGACCAGGGTAATGGAGGTTTGTTTATGTATTTGCCCCTTCATGCCCTGTGATGTAATTCAATTGGTGAATGCATTCCACATGATTTTCCCACAGAGCACGCTGTATTTAATAGCATCTGGCACATCTTGGAGAGCCCCCGTTGCATATCATGAGATGTTTAACTTGCACTGAATAGTCCATAAAAGTAATTTCCATGCTGTTGTGTCCTTTGCAGATGGTGTTCTGAAACAGTTAACAGTGATAACTCTCACTTTGCTTATTTGTGACTTCTCACTGATGCAGATGGAGAAGGAGCATTTATAGATTACTGTTTCTATTCCCTGATTGGGAGGCCGACTTCTCCTTAGACAATACCTTGCCTTTCACATTTACGTCTCTAGTGCCAGATGGAAGCTAGCATTCATGTGTGTGTACTTGATTTGTGACAGTACTAGTCAAATTCAGAGCTCAATTTAATAATGACTGGTACCTACAGAGACCAAGAAACTTGATTTTTAAGGCGATGGAACCAACCCGAATACTGTTTGAAAAGTAGATTTGTTTTGCCCAGTGTCAAATGCCCATGAGCACACATGCATTCATCTAAGATTGAACAAAGTGATTGAATCCATCTGATACATGGTTAGTAAGACTCAGGACCTATTCTCAGGGATTTGACAAATACTTATCAAGTGTTTCTTCTGTGCCAGGTACTGGATTAGTTGATGGGGCATTTATACTTTATTTAGAACATCTCAAAGTAGCTTACAAAACTTTCTAATCTGAAGCTTTCAGAGGAGAGAGAAAGAGAGAGGGAGGGAGAAGAACTTAGAAGTCAAGTTGTTCAACAGTCCTATCAAATAGACTCAATCTTGGCAAATTGATAGTATGGATGTTAAATATTGCCCCCCTCAACAAGGCTCATATTTTAAAGGCTTGGTTCCTGAGATAGGGCTATTTGGAGGTAATGGAATCTTTGAGAAGTAGAGCCTAGTGGGAGACTGTGTTATTAGGAGTATGAGGGTAGTGTTCCAAACATACTTTAGTCCATTCATTAAGACTTTGCCAATGAAATCTCTAACATTTTACTCAACATTGAGAGGATAAAGATTTGATGTAGTTAATGGAAATAAAAAGAAACAAAGTGTTTCTTAACTCATTTAGAGGAATGAGGAGATTTATATTTTGATCAAAGATGCTTCAAACCATGCCTTTGTAGATGTATGATCTCTCCAGTGTGTGTGGTCAGATTGTGTGGGTAGGGTACTGAAATCATGCCAGTGAGGACAGAGAAGTCCAAGTCTGCCAGCATTCACCCATTTTTAGTTAAACCTTTTGGTTTTTAAATTGTACCAATATCTAAAGAGCACATATTTGTGTGCTAAGTATTGGATGGTGGAGAGAGAACTGAACTGGGGAACATTCCATGGTTTTGATGGAAAATGATAAGGACTCTTTCAGAAGTAGACAGTGAGCAGAAGGAGAGAGATTGGACTATTGTGCTGGGGACAGCTGATGGGTGGTGACTATAACTGAAGTTTGCTTTGAAGAAGAGATGGTTGACAGGGTGAGACTGAAACCTCCAAGTGGATAAAGGGTGGGGTAGGGAGTGAGGTCGAGGAATGCATGTGAGATGCATAGGCTTGCGGTGCCATGCTCAGGTGGACCATCTGGCTGGAGTGGGGAGCTAGTTCACAGAGGGCTTTGCAGCTATGTGATGGTGAAGAGGTTGGACGTCAGGAAGTAATTCAGGAAGTGCTGTGCCAGCAAAGGATTTAAACCAGAGCCGAAGCATAGCCACATCTTTATGTTAGCATGATGTCTCCGATCATGATGCTGAGGAAAAATTCAAAGGGCTAGGTTGGCTGACAAGAATTCATTCTGGAGCTTCTGGTCAAACCATAATACATGAAGAGGAGACAGACAGGAGAGGATAATGGAAGAGTGCCATAGAAGGGTGCTGAATGAATGAGATACAGAAGAGGAAAGCTCTCAGGATGCATGATGGATCTGGGGGTGTGGTGCCATATTTAGCAGGAGAGAGACAGTGAGAAGAGGAGGGGCATTTGGGTGCACAGAAGTGTGTTCAGTCTTCCTTTCTGCTCTACCCATGGTGCTGTTGCACTACCCCAGACAGGAAGTCCTGTAAACAGTTTTCCATGTATAATTCACAGGAGAGTGATTAAAACATTAGTTCACATTCCAGAGCAAGAGTTGGCAGCTCAGATTCTAGAACAGTGTAAGCTGAAGCTGACCCTGAGCCTTAATGGTAGACCTTCCCAGTAAGCTTTTCTCCTCCCTTCTACTTCTGATCCCGGTCAGCTTTATCTTTTTGGACACACATCAGATTGTATCCTTCCCCAGTTCAAAACCCTTTGGTAACTCCATTGGTTATGTTTCTGTTGCTGTGATACAGCACCAGGACCAAAAGCAATGTGAGGAAGAAAGAGTTTATTTCAGGCCTGTGGTTCCGGAGAGATAGAGTCCATCATGACCGGTAAGGCACGCCGTGATGATAGGAGTAGAAAAGCTGGCTTGTTACATTGTCACTTACACAGAAAGCGGAGAGGGGGTGGCCAGGTGGGTGGGGGCAAGGCTCTAAACTCTCAAAGCCTGTCCTCCCAGTGATGTGCCTTCTCTCGCAATATTCTGCTCTCTAAATGTTCCATAACTTACCCAAACAGTGTTATTGACTGAGACCTGGTATTCAAATACATAGAGGACATTTCTCATTTGAACCACAATAGTGTCTCTGAGTTCCCTCTGAGCTAAGTCTCACATTCCTAAGTGGGGTATTTTTGAGTCCTTGGGGCTCATCTTCTATCCTCCCCTTCAGTAGGCACAGAGGAAGCCATTCTGCCTACCACACTGTGGTTGCACATGTGACTTCTTGTTCCTGCAATGTTGTTGTTGTTGTTGTGTGTGTGTGTGTGTGTGTGTGTGTGTGTGTGTGTGTGTGTGTATGTTGGATTAACTTGGAAAGATATCCCCAGTGCCATATGGGTACAGTTACACTCACTCATATTTAGCCATTGCCTCTACTGCTCCAGGAACAGTGCCTCCACAACAGAAGAATACATGAGGAGGTGACCGGATGGTGAGAGGTAGACAGGAGCTGGGAGATTAGGATTCATATCTCAGCCCTTCTGCCCCTCAGAGCATGTGGCTTTCAGTGAATCATTTAGTTTCTTTAGGTTCCATTTCTTCAGCTGTTGAATAAAGTTAAAAGTATTCCTGCAGTTTTCCTGGGTGATGGAGAAGTTTAGAGCCCCAAATAGACACAGAGTAACTTGTAAATGAAATGATTTATAAGCTGTGTTCCTGCGGGCACTTCATGGTATATATTGAAATGGTTACTTCTAAGTAAGGAGATGGAATGTTCCATGAATGATGTCTTGCAATTGCAAAGTCTTTGGCTTTCTGAGAAGTTTCCGATGAGCATAGGCACATTACAAATGGGGACTTGATTTTTCCTACATCAATCTAAATAGAGCACTTGGTCCATGGTGCCCTTCCAGATAGCCATGATTTACATTTGTTTTTCTCTGTTTTGGAGATTTGATTGGTTTTTCCTATGACCAAATGCCCAACAGGGACAGTGTAGAAAGGGAGCAGTTGCCTGGGCTCATGGTCTCACAGGTTTTAGTTCCCTGTGGAGGTAGTTGGGGCAGCAGAGAAGCTCACACTGAGGAAGCCAGGAAGCAGGATGAGAAGAAGCCTGTGTTCATGGACATTGCTTTTTTCCATCCCCTCTTAACCCATCCAGAGCCAGCTCTTCTTCTCTTAGTGAATTCTCCCTGCAAGCCCCTGCACAGAAACATCCCAAAGTGTACTTTACTAATCTTGTGGGTGTTCTTTGATCCAGTCACTTTGACAGTCAAGATTAATCATCATATACACCAAAAGGGGTGGGGCTCTTCCAGCAAGTTGACTCTGGGCAAAGGTCCCAATCCTAAAGACCTGAGTTCCATCCCTGTGGCCCACATGGTATAAAGAGAGAACTGACTACCTCAAGTTGTCCTGTGATCTCCACACATATACCATGGAATATATTCACCACCATCCCCATACACAGGTACATAACACCAAATAAATAAATAAAAAATGTAATAATGAAAAAAAACTGTCATCAGGTAGAGACTTGTTGCTGCACAAAGTGCTAAGAATAAATAATGGATAAGGCTGCATCCCTAAACAAGATGTTTATACCACCCCTTTAAGGAACATTGCAGAAGACAAGGCCAAAAGAACGCAAGAACCAGAAGCTAGGGAGAAGAAGGGCTTATACATGTCCTGGGTAAGACACAGCCATTGCAATCACAAAACCACAGTAGCTACAATGCATGCGCTGAATGTGTGCAAGAATGGGTCCCTCCAGCTAGGTGTGGATGGAGGAGGGCCTCAGGGGGCATTCCCTTACTGCTGAACTATTTGCTACTGATAGATCCAGGGAGAAGGCAATCATCACTCTCAGTGACCCCACCTGGCTATGGTGGATAATCTCAGCCCAGTGCTCACACTGATGGCCCTGGTTAAATTAAGGAGTCATAAAAAGAAAGCAAAAGTCAGAATCTACGAAAGGGACTGTGTGGTGGCTTGAAAGAGAAGGCCCCCATGGGCTCATATAGTTGAATGCTTAATTGGCATGGAGTGGAATTGTTTGAGAAGGATTAGGATTAGGAAGTATGGCCTTGTTGGAGTAAGTGTGGCTTTGTTGAAGGATGTGTGTCCCTGGGGGTGGGCTCTGAGGTTTTAAAAGGTTATGCCAGGTCCAGTCTGTCTATCTGACTCTGTCTGTCACTGCCTGTCTTTCTGTCTGTCTCTCTCTGTGTTTCTCACCCGGCCTCTGCTTACTGCCTTTGGATCAGGGTGTAAAGCTCTTGGGTACTGTTCCAGCACTGTGCCTGTCTGCTTCTCACCATGATGATCATAGACTAACTCAAGTGTAAAACCATAAGCAAGTCGATAAGCAGCACTCCTCCATGGCTTCTGTATCGTCTCCCGTCTCTAGGTTCCCATCTCATGTGAGTTCCTGCCTTGGCTTCCCTCAGTGAACATTTAAAACAAACCCCTTCTTCTGCAAGTTGTTTTTGGTCATAGCAATAGTAACCCTGGCTATGACAGGCTGGTAGAGAGGAGGGGGGTTAACAGGGATAGGAGGAAGGTAAAAGAGGATGGGGTGAGAGTGATCAGAATGTGTTATATGAAATTATCAAAGAAAAAACTTCATTAAAAAAGATTCATCACTGAGATTATATATATTTATGCGTCACAGTCGATGAGGTTACAAACTGTGTCCTCCTTTGTGTCAGGGAATTTTAAAGCTATTTTTTTTGCTCAGGCTTGGCTGTACAGAGGTTAATGGATATCACCGTGTATAGAACCCTGTTGGATTGCCCTCAAGAATAGATGGTGTGCTATCCTTCCCTGGACAGTATGGTACTGGGAAGGTGCATCAGTGTGGATACTGGAGCCAGAACAACAGTGAGGAGTGGTCTCTGTGGCACTGGGGTTAAACTTTTTATCTGCTTGGTCCTGCATCTGTAAAGTCAAGGCATGCCCACATGGAGTGGGAGACTAGTAAGTGGGCCTACTTTGAAGGTTAACATTGGAACATGTCATCTGCCACAGGGTCCGGTTGGCCCCAGACTATTGTCAAAAATATCCTACTTTCCCTCTGATTTGACCAAAGATTCTTTGATCTCTAAAATGATTACTCCCTACCCCACTCCCAACCCCCGTGCTTGGATAAAAAAAATATACAAAAGTATTCTTATTTTTTAAATGCATTTTCACTTCTCATTTCTGCTTCCTGAACTCTATGGGCTTTAGGCTTTAAACATTCCTTAGCAGAATTTATAGATACCTTTCCATTGCTATTTGCGTATCTGGCGCTTGTTGGTCACTGTGTGTGCCGGGCTCTGTGAAGAGCACTTTATTCATATTATTGATTTAGTGTTCACAATAAAGATTGATAAGAACAATCATGTAAATAGATAGGAAATAAGATAGCCACAATTTCCTGAGAGAAAAGTGGAGCATAGAAAAGTTGGAAAATTTACCAAAGGACACATGATAACTAAATGATGGAACAGCCTCCCATAAGGAACTCTCAGCTCTCGGAATCCTGAGCACCCAGCCACCAAGCCACATTGTTTTCATGCACATTGTTTCTCAGTTACATTTCTCTTCGCAGAACTACAACCGCTCCTCAAAGAATTATGCATCAACATCCAGCCTGTGTTTCTTCTCTCTTCTCCTACTCTTCCCTCAGCTTAATTCAATTCCAGCCCATACCGCTTAAATATGGCATTTCACCTGAAGTTTGTGAGGGGGTTACCGGGGTTGACAAGACAGTAATTGAGGCTGCCAGGCATGAAATCAGGTGACTAAATGGCTCTGGCCACATTTATCTGGGTATAGCCGCATCCACTTGCTCCATGATGTTTGTGTCTATGTCATTCTGTATGTGTGACACACACACACATTCCAGGGACTCTGTGTCAGTCCCCAGAAGCCTCTCTCTTTGAAGCCTAGTAGAGTTCCGACTCTGTACTCTCGTACCTGGACTTGCTCTCACTGAATCCTGCCCTCCATGCCTGCTCCATCTTTCTAGATTCTTAGTTTCAGGTTAAAATAAGACTCCTTAAGGGCAGTGCAAGGTACATGGGGATTGCTTCGTGATGGACAAGCAGCACTGTAAATAAACAAGCGATCAGCCCGTGCCCTGTATGACTCTGCTCATCTTGTGACAAGGTTGCTAAGTCAAAGGAAAATAGAAGGGGGAAGTGATTATCTGGATAATTTAGCAGGCAAATGGCAGCAGGCTGAATTTTCTAGATAATGTGTGTTTGCCATCCTGCAGCACTTAGATTAGAGGATCCGAATCGGATTGCAACACCTGGTTCCGTGCACCGGTTCTCACTCACCCAATCCAACTTGTCAGCCACTTGAGAGGAGTCTGGCTGGTTATCCAGAGAATTAGTCTGGGCTCCCTCTCTCCAGCCTGGTCTCTCGCCGCATCCGAGTATACCCAACACATTGCTGCTGTCCTTGTGTCCTTGCAAAATTCTCGTGGGTGGGGAGGATTGCAGGATGTCATGAGTTACAACACTGGCGATCTGCGATTTCTTTACACAGACATTGCTGGTGCTGTGATAGTAAGTACAGCACCAGAGTCTAGTCTACGGATAGCAGCAACTAGACACTCGACCGCCATGGATTCTCTCCCCTCCCCAAAGCCGTGCTATTTTGTGCTGGAGACATGGTGGGTGGGAAAGCACCCAGACCAAGTAGAGCATTAGGATTCTTCCGTTAGAGCTGGGTGCTGTGGGTACAGGAGGAAAAACGGAAGCCGAGAAGAGGACTCATTTCAATTTTTAAGTAGCACGTCAAATTGGCCCATGTCCTCAGAGAAGCCGCTGTCCCTACAGGCACTTCATGTCTGGGCAGGTATGTCCTTGAGTGTTTCCGCCTTGATTTCTCAGGTCAGCGTGTGGTAGTCGGTATAAGCCAAACAGATCCTTCGGGCACTTAACTCAAGAAGAGGCAGATAGGGGAGTCCTTATAAATATATAATAGCCACTTCTAGATAACACTTAGCCATTTTAACTGCCTGAAAGCCATGTTATTTTGAAGGTCTCCAATCATAAGGCCGCACAGGGGCTGCACGGGTGAGGTGGAAAAAGGAAGAAGATAATGCACTTAATGTGGCTTTTTCGGACCACTCTGGCATCAGCTATTGATTGGATTGCAAGGCCTTTAGTTAGTGCAGGGAATCCACAGGCAATAATTAAAATTTCAAGAGATACACTCGCCGGAGAAATGGGAGGAGTGGGGAAGGAGGTGTGTGGTAGTGGGCCCCACGCATGTTAATGACTCTGTTAGAATTAGATAAAATTAACAGAAATTAGATCTATAGGTATTGAAGAGCCCCCTTTATGTTGAGAGGAGCCATTTAAGAACAACGATTGGGGATTATGGCTCAGCGGAGTCTTTTAACTGTTCCTTTGCCTGACTGACTGTCCTCTGCTAGGGTTGCAATCAATCCAGAAAGCTGCAAAACAACTCCTAGGTTCCCTTTAATTTGGGGTTCTCACATACATTTCTTCCTAACATCACAGTATGGGCCAGGATTGGGCATTGACTCTTTCAGTAATGGTTTCTCTTTGTCTAGATTTCAGTTCAAAAGAGTTCTCTTTGTTAGTCCCGAGAGATGGCATTGGGGTGTAATGTTGTCATGCCTCTTCTACACAGCACTCACTATTGTGCAGATGAGTACCATGGTCTGAACATGCACAGTATCAGAGTTGAAGTGGGGGAGCATCTCCACCCACTCTAGCAGCATTTGTGACGAAGGATATTTTTTTCCCTTCCCATAGAAACATTGTGTATGCTAATGCATCTCTGAGGCCTTGCTCTGATCTCAACATTGGCAGTTGATCTGTTGTTTGCTCGGGTGTCATGGGGACATCTCTTCTGTGTCAGTAAGGAGATGAGAAGTGAACAGAGAAGGCAATGTGACTGCGGCTACCAGTTACAGCCCTTCCGGAAAGAGTTAAGCCTGACTCTCCTGTCTGAGGTGGGCCTTTGCCTCAGGAAACTGGGGCATAGAGATGAATTCACCAGGGACCAATTGTTTGATTTCTCTCCTTCTGCTTCTTGACCCAGGGATGAAAGCGTGGCTTCTCTAGAGCAGAAGTTCAGACTGGATTTTCTTCTGTAGGAATTAAACCCCGTAGGATGATTTGTGCATAGGCAAGTAAAATTAAACCGAAAAATCAAGGAAAGATACTGGAGGTGTCCCAAGGCAAATGGCAGTGGCTTCAGTGTCAAGTGATGTTTGTGTTCGATGCCACTGTAGGGTGCCCCTGGCTTTGGCAGAGGGACGTATGCAGAAGATTCCATTATCATGGGGCTTTGGGTACATCATTCTACAGTCCTTTCTGATATAACCCCAGAAATCTTGATTTCCACCGAGAGTAGATTCATTCACAATGCTCTAAAGAAATAGCATAACTAGACATGTAATGCATCATTGGGATATGAGTTCATATATACATACGTGGCATCTAGTAGCCTATGACTTCATGGACATTCACTGAGGGTAAATCCTTAGGGAAGCCTGAAGAAAGGTAAGTTTAAATACTACTATTTATTATTATTACTTACAGTAAGTGTAATAATACAATTATGTGTGTATGTGTGTATGTGTATGTGTGTCACAGCATATGTGGAGGTCCGAGAACAACTTAGTGGAGTTAATTCTTTCCTTCTACCCTTATGTGGGTTCTGGAGATCAAACTCAGGTTGCTAGGGTTACACAGAA